TAAAGTAGGTAAAAGTAAAATAAAAGCTACATCTTATGGAGCAGAGGCATTGTTAGGTAAGAAGGCTTTAGATTACTGTGTAAGTATTTTAAATCATCGGTCCAAATGTTTCTTAGGTATCATAACCACCCATTTTTTCTTTCATAGTCATTCTTTTAGATCTTCTTTCTTATAATTAGTACCTGCGGTAGCCATGAATTACTACAAGTGGTCAGATCCCCTAGGACAGGGATTTTCAATTTGCAAACATGTGGAAGTGTTTTGGTTGTTACAAAGACTTAAGAGTATGGGCCAGGTATGCAGCCTACCCTTCCATACAAGGGACATACCACTCAATGAAAGACTGCCCTGCCCGAAATGCCATCAGTGCCTTTTCTTGAGAAACACTGCTTGAGGCAACCTTCTTTGGCTTTGAGACAGAGTGTGTACATTCCTCCATTTTGAGGTGGAGCCGCCCTTAACTTCCTTTTTCTCTGAGCTCTTATTTCAAGCTATCTGTTTTGGTACATGGCCCCATAAACTACAAGGCCCCCTGTAGTTCTACATTGCTGGTTTCCACCACATATCACTGTAGGTAATTTAAGTCCGAGTATAACAGCTATATATGGTGTGTTCAAATGCCAATACCCAGAGATAATCATTCTTAATATTTTGGTCAATAACCTTCTAGAAATCTCTTTACCTCATAAACTTTTGAAAATGGGGTGATCTTATACAAATATGATACTGTACATGCTAATTTATATTCATTCAGTAATATGTTGGTACCTTTCACACTCATGAGTGTTACACTGGATGACTCTAAAAAGAATTAAAGCCAAACTGGTGTTAAAGAATATTTAAGTTGATTCCATTTTTTGCTGCTATAAACAACAATGTCATCAGGGTCTGTGTATACTTATCTTTGTGGTCTTATATTTATCTACTTAGCGAAGGATTAGTGGATTAAAGGATGGAGATATTTATATCTGTATCTATCCATATCTACCTATCTGAGAAAGCCAGCCTTTCAAAGGAATGTTCTAGTTAACATTTTGTCAAAAATCTTGAGTCCTTCAGCAATGTTAGGTACTCAATTCTGTCAGTTTTTTACATCTTTGTCGATTAGGTGAGTGATAAATATTTACATTTAAAATTTTTAAGGTAATAGTGGAATTGAACACTTCCTAATATGATTATTGGTTTTTCATACTTCATTAACTCTGCCATATTTTTACCAACACACTGATAAATCGCATGCAAGAATAATTTTCAGTGACTTTTGGTTCTTCTTTAAATTACACATAAATGCATTAGTCTGTCAGATGGTCCCTTTTCAGTCCTGAGTGACCTCCAGGCAGCACTGTTGATGTTTCCATCATTCTGGAACTACTTTATTTTCTTCCCTTACATGAGACCACCTAGACCTCCTCTCATGTCTCTGGATGCCACTTCTTACATGACTCCCCCATGTTAAATTATCTGTACACTCTGCATTGATTATCTCAAAGCTTCATTTACCATGATCAGCATATTTCTCTCTGCAGCCCAGATTTCACTTCTTCGCTCTATGTCCATATATTCAAGAAGAAGGTAGGGCAAAGTTTTTGGTATGACTTACTTAACATAGGCTGTACAACCCTAGATGTCTCCTGAGACCAGATATATGATATGATGAATGAAGCCAGCCAGGTGCATTTTTTTTTTTTTTTAGACAGAGTCTCACTTTGTTGTCCAGGCTAGCATGCTGTGGTGTCAGCTCACAGCAACCTTAAATTCCTGGGCTCAAGCAATCCTCCTGCCTCAGCCTCCAGAGTAGCTGGGACTACAGGTGCATGCCACCACACCTGGCTAATTTTTCTATTTTTATTAGAGATGGGGTCTCGCTCTTGCTCAGGCTGGTCTTGAACTCCTGATCTCAAGTGATCCACCTGCCTTGGC